AAATATAAAACATGTCCTCATGGTTCTCTTACCAAGACTACTTCTTATTTAGTCCTAGTCTAGTTTTCATCATGACAATAGGTCATTAACAAATATTTATCGTCTTAGTTTTTCATTAGAATTATTAGAACACACATACACACGAGCAGCAGGGAGTTAGTGCGTTAGGTAGCAGCGCTGTGTGTGACTTATGGCTGATGAAGTGGTGACTGATCGATGTGCCTGACATCCATTGATTTAGTTTCAGCACTGCGGTAGTGTCCAGCTCCTGTTAAGAGCTTCTTAAAGAGCGATCTTTAGAGCGACCCTGAGAAGGGCATTAAGAACGCATGTGGCAAACATTCTTAGTATCTTAGCGACCCTTCTTAGCTAAGACGTTCTTAACTGTGCTCTTAAGTCTTCAGATCGCTCTCAACTGGGAAACACGGCTGATATTTTAATCAGTAACATTCAGGCAGGAAGTCCAAACTTGTCACACCTTCCTGTTGGTTGTGTTGTCCCATAGGACTGTAACATTGATCCTGTGATTTTAACTCTGTCTCCTACAAAATGTTCCACTGACCCGCTTCACTCAATGTGTCCTGTAGAGATGTGACTGACTAACCCTAACTATCTGACACACAGGCTGTGACGTCACTAAACACGTTCCTGTGAGTAATTAAGTGCATCACCTGTGTGACCAGGTGGATCTGACGTCTACGAGACCGCTGACTCTGTGACCTGAGCTTTGTCACCACGATGTCCCACTCTGGACTCACAGCTCATTAAAGGGAAGTGACACCAAACTCAGAGCAGCCAGCAGTGACACGTATCAGCGTCTAATGTTCCAGAGTCAGACTCTGTGTAATCTCTGCTGTTTGAAACAAAAGGGACCTTTAATGAGATGCTGTGTGGACGCTTACAGGTGATGACACACACTTTAAACACCAACACGTCCTCACTGTGACCTCGTCACATGTCCACGTTTGGTCATGGACTTTCCACGTCCACATATGACGTCCAAGGTACCCTGGGTGTGTTGGTTGTTGACGTTCTGGGACGCCGTGTCAACTTCAGCCTGTTACATGCATTGTCTGGCCCGAATTTCACAATTCACGATCGTTTTAACTCCTCACATGATCACAGTCTTGACTGCTGTGTGTGTGTTTGTGTGTGTTTGTCTGCTCAGCTGTTTGAACTGAAACAGCTGACGATGAGATGATTTTCTTTTTATAATGTGGTGTAAATAAAGTTGTGTTCAATCTCAAATCTATGTCAGCGTCTCTCTGTCAGCAGGACGTCATGTGATTAAATAATAGATGTGCATTTGTGATTGTCAGACGGGTCACTGAGCTGCAACATGAGACACACACACACACACACACACACACACACACACACACACTCAGGTGTGTGTATAACCACGTCAGCAGGTGATCACAGATTCAGATGGTCTGCTGACGACAGAGACACGAGGTGAAACCAGAAGCTTCAGATTCAGATTCAGAGATCAGGATCAGTTTGATGTTTCCTTCAGGTCACATTAAAGTGATGAAACCAAAACTATCTGTGAAACAACCTGAGTTACACTGACGGTCGACTAAGGTTGAAACAATATTTCTACCTGCAGCAGATTCACAGCAGACAGAGCCACACTGCATGTGTCATCTGATCAGATCATATTATTTAGTGCTCAATAAACAGTGTGAGTCTCAGTCAGAGTGAAGAAATGGTGTCAGTGTAACAGCAGCTGTGATTCATCAGATCTATCAGCTCCTTAATGATTAACACCAGTCACAGACTGTTGACACAACTACTGACAGCAGAGTTCAACTGTTACTGACAGTGATCACACTGATGGGTTCATCAGAGGAGGAGGAGGAGGAGGAGGAGGAAGCAGAGGTGTGATCAGAGGGACACTAACAGCTGGATGAAGAATCTGATGAGTATAAACAACAGCAGCTCACTGATCAGTGATAACATGAAACTGTGTTTAACTGATCGCTGCATGCTAACGCTGTGTAAAGGTGCGGACACACCAAACCGACATCAAAGAACTAGCGGAGACGAAAGCCAACTGTTGCGTCGTCTACGTCGCCTCACGTCGCCCTGTGTCAGTTGCATTTGAACACACTACACGGACTACATCCGACGGCCAAGTAGCACGTACGTTCTGCGCCTGCGTGAGAGAGAGCAGAGTGAGAGAGTGGTACATCCTGTCAGCCGAGGGGTTTCCTATCTGTGCAGCCGAGCACCGCAGCACCTCCACGGACTATTACATCCAGACGGTCCCGGTGTTTCCTCCGCAGGCTCCACTTCACTCAGCTGCCCGATAAACCCGCTGCTTCTTCCCACCCGCAAAGCCGCCGACGCCAAAGTGCCGACAGTGCGGGACACACCGCAAAAACTAGGCCGACAGACGCTCACTGCTGCCCGACTTTGGTCAACGGCCAGCCGTCGGCTTGGTGTGTCAGGGCCTTAAGACAACAAGAGAATGACTCGCCCAACTGTCCCTCTGATTGGCTAGTACCTGTTCCCTCCTTTGGTCGGGTTGGTTAGGGTCAGGGTAGTGTCATATCCTCACTATCCTACGATTCATGATGTCACATGGTGGAACTGAACAAATCAGTATCACATAATAATCTACACTGAAATTAGTGAAAAGAACGTCAGGATGGATTTAGGTGCAGCGGGTGCAGCAGGTGCAGCAGGTGCAGCAGGTGCAGCAGCTCAGCTCAACATCACAAACATGAACTCTGTGATGGACTCAAACCTGCAGCAGCTTCGTCTCACAGTAACTGCTGAAGGACTGAAGCTGTCGATCAGACTGATGTTGACAGTCTCTTCGACACCGTGACATCATCAAGCACAGAAACACACAGAGAATAAAGTCTGCTCACTTTCAACCAGACTGAGTTTCAGCACCACAGACACTCCTCTAACTGTCAGAACATATACGTCATGATGTCTGGACTTTAACCAGCTGATAATCAATCAATCACTTGTTCAATAAAGAGTTTTGTCTTCAGCTGTGTCACAAAGACAAACTGATCTCTGTCTGTTTCCCTCAGAGCTGCACCACCACAGGACTCACTCACATCACACACACTCACTGAGACTTTAAAGACTCAACTATTAATCACTAATAAAAATAAATAAATAAAATAATTCTTCCTCAAAGCTTTTGCTTCAATAAACAACATGAAATTAATTCAACTGTGTCACAGAGGAGAAAAAACAAGAAGAGGTGTTCATGTGTTGGGCCGTCTGTTTCAGCACCACGGACAGAGACACTGACTGAACACTGCAGACAGAAGAAGAAGAAGAAGAGAAGAGGAGGAGCCTCTGGTCATTATGGTCAAACACACACACACACACACACACACACACACACACACACACACACACACACACACAGTGTGACTTCAACAATCAAACAGCTGCAGACAGACAAGCAGTGTGTAGATGAAACATCTGTACAGTCTCAGACAGTCTTGATTTAAGCCTCCTGCTGTGAGGCGACGATGATACCCACTGCACCACCGTGCCACCAGTAATATTGTACTGTACATTCTCTGTTGATTCCCACCCTGACATGCTACATGCAGGATGTCACTCACATGATGTGCAGAGAAATGATGAGAAAGGTAACGCTTCAAATGTTTTACTGCGGCACTCTCTTTCCAACCTGTAGAATAAGCCACGCCCACTGATGTCATCACACTACAGGTGAAGACAAACCTGCTTTCTTTGGTTCCACCTGAGAACAAACTCTTCAGGTTCTGACCCAGTTTATATTTGCTCTGAACACTTCAAAAAATATCTGAGACCTCCACACTCAGTCTCCCACCTTCATTCATTCATTCATTCATTCATTCATTCATCAGTCCTCAGTGTCGAACACTTCCTGACTTACAATAAACCTTTAAATGACAGGTTCTGGTTCTTGCTTGTGAAGGTGCAGGAACCAGAACAGACCTGGTTCTATGTTGGTGGAGAAGAGTGGAGCTACAGTCACAGCTGGACGAGGACATCTAACTGGCCTACTGTCCTTGTCCCAGTAAACAAGCACGGGAGGGGAATCCATTTATTGAGCCAAGTATGTGCGACTCCTCTACGATAGGTGGAGATATGCCCCCTTTCAGCTTGTTAGTATTGGACCTTTTTCCTGTTGACCTATTACGTCACAGACCAAACAATGGACAAACAAGTTAGCTACGGTTAGCTAGCAGCTAACTGCTACCATGGTGGACAACTTTACAGCTCTGTACATTTGGTCAGTCCAAAAAGTCACGGCTCTGGATGTAGATTTCTCCATGTTGTTACCGGCTTCTTCTTCTCTTACACATTTAATGCTATTGGACTTCCGGGTCAAAGCCCGGGGCGGAAACTGTGGAGCATGCTCAGAGCGCCTCGGCCAGTTTGGGTCTGATTGACTGTATACATGCAGGAGTCACATGATCTGGGTGTGTTAGTCCCACTGTGACACATTCACTGCAGGAACATTTCACTCACACTGACATGTTTACAGGGATTTATATAAACTACTGAAGCTCCTCCTCTTTTTGGAACCACCAAGAGTCCATCATCATTTCACTGTCAGTCATGCTTGTTGTTGCAGCAGGATCCTCAGCTCAGTTTAAACACTGCTGATCGGTTTTAAGGAGCAAAACTTCCTTTACAGACACGCTGAAGGTTTGAGACTACAGCTACAGTTTATACACACACACACACACACACACACACACACACACACACACACACACACACACACTCCCCAGCTGTTCACATCTGGCAGCAACATCTGGAGACACAACTTTTCTGCTCAACAAACTCTGCTTTTGGAGAAACCAGCGGCTCAGACCGAAGACACACTGTCAGCACCAACATCCAGAAACTCTTCTGCTTCTCTTTAATGTACACGTACACACACACACACACACACACACACACACACACACACACACACACACACCTCTCCAAGCTCCGCCCCTTCACACACACCCCTCAGCATCACCTACCCGAGTGTTGTCATGGTGACGATGGTGTACCAGAAGGCCGCCGGGATGCTGGTGAACTTGCTCGCGCTGGATCCCTTCTCGGCGTAGAACATGACGGTGGCGAAGATGATGATGGCCATGGTGAGGGAGAAGAGCAGGAAGCCGAGCTCTGACGCGCAGCTCTTCAGCGTGTAGCCCAGGATGCGAAGTCCCGCGGAGTGCCGCGAGAACTTGAAAATCCGAAAAACCCTGAAGACGCGCAGGGTGACGAAGGCGCCGCTCACGTCCTCATTGTCGGTCATGACGAGGCCGATGTAGTAGGGCATGATGGCCACCACGTCGATGATGCTCATGACGCTCTTGACGAACTTGTAGCGGCTCGGCGCGGCGAGCAGGCGCAGCAGGTACTCCACCGTGAAGATCATGACGCACGCGGTGTCCAGGCAGAAGAAGGCCAGCGCGTACCTCTCGCCGCACGAGATCTCCTTGACGCGGTTCGGCGCGGTGCCGCACGGGACCGTCTCCACCACGTTGGCCATCACCGACACCGCGATGAAGAAGCCGGTGACGTAGTAGAAGACCAGCGCCATGGTGGAGGTGTGCGGGTTCTCAAAGGCGCGCCACATGGTCTCCCGGAAGCTCATGTCCGGCAGCACCAGGTCGTTGGTCGGGTCCATCTCCTCGTCGTCCTGGATCCGCTCCTGGTTCTCCCGCCGCCGGTCCTTGTAGTCCTCGTAGCAGCAGTCCCCGATGATCTCCGGGATGATGCCGAAGAACGCCAGCTCCTCGTCGTACGCGGAGATGCACTCCTGCCGCGGGTAGTGCAGCTTCCCGGTGCGGTAGAAGTTAAGGATGTGGCGGAAGATGTCCGGGTCGCGGTCGAAGAAGTACTCGTTGGTCTCCTCGTGGAAGAAGAAGTCCCGCTCTGTGCTGCCCAGCAGGGTGTCCGGGTACCGCTCCAGCGTGTCCCGCCACGTCTGAAACTTTGTGCCGCTCACGTTGAGCACGATCAGCCCGGCGTGCCCGCGCTGCTGCTCCTTCGGGGGAGCCGGCATGGGCGTGCTGGCCACCGGCATCCAGCCGATGGCCGCCGCGCGGGCGAACGGCAGCCACGCCGCCACTCCTGCTGCCATGCTGCTCGTGGAGGCTCGTCAGAGGAAGATTCACGGAGCCACGGAGCGGCGCGCGCGCATCTGGAAACAATCAGCAGAGTTTCTCCTGGAAAACAAGATGATTTTTACGCACGAAATTAATGAGTAAAAACGAACTAATCCACATGTGAGCGTGTCCTCACCAGTCCGTGACCGTGTGCGTGGAGGCAGCGAGACAGGAAGAAGAATCCAAACTAACTCCACACAGAAAAAAACTCCTAAAATCCGTTAAATCCGGTTTGTAGGTGTGTTATCTCCCCGCGGTGCCACCGTGTTCTTCTCCTCAGCGCGTGTCTCCTCCAGCAGCAACAAGTCGAGGCATCAGGAGGATCCCGCGCGCCACAGCCGGACACGGAGCTGCCACTGATCCGCCGCAGGCATGCTCTGCTCCGGGTCTGTCCGCCGGAGTCTTCCGGTGCCCGAGCTGATCTCACGGAGATCAGCCCGCTGCGACAAGTGTGTTTCCCCGCAGAGAGGGAGCGGAGAGGAAGCCTTCGCCTCACCGAGTCGAGTCGGGCCAAACCGGACCGCCGCGGAGAAGCTGAAGGTGTTCGGCTGGAAGCGACGCGGCAGCGGCTCGTTCTCCGGTCACACAGGTGCTGCTGGAGAGAGCAGCGGAAACCCACGTTACTCCCTATCTCTCCTCTCCTCCCTCTCTCCTCCTCCTCCTCCTCCCTCTGGTTGGGGGCGTGTCTGTGGAGAAGCCCCGCGGACTCTCCGCTGTGGTGTTTTACGCACAGAGATCTCTCCCGGAGAGAAACCCGTGTGTGTGTGTGTGTGTGTGTGTGTGTGTGTGTGTGTGTTTGCTACTCAGCCCCGGGCGATGACAACAGGCGGGTCCGCGCGCTCCCGGTAGATCGAGGGTTTTTTTAGGTAGGCTGCAGGGCGCGCGCACGAGGTGTCCGTGCAGGTTTTGGTGTGTTTTCAGCAGGTTCCAGATCAGATCTGTCACATCTGTCACTTCATCAGCTGCTGCAGCAGCAGAGAGGAAGTCTGACCTGCAGCTGCAGCGCGAGGACACCTGACATCCGGTCACCTCCAACACAACACGTTTCATTCGGATCACTTTGAGTCAGAAACATTTGTGCACTGATCCTTTGTTTGCTCCTCACAGAGCGCTGCAGAGAGGAAACAGTCTGTGCTCTGGTGTCCAGGTTGGAGACATGAATTTCCTCTCTGACGTCTCTCCTCCACTGAGAGCTTCACTTGTCCATGAACGTTGTCTTCTTTGTTTGAGACTTTGTCAGTGTTTCAGCACCAAACACTCGTGTGTAGAACTGAACATAAAAAGATTCTGCTGCTCTCTGTCTCTGTGAATGTGTCCTCCTCATCTCAGTAAAGCAGGGACGTCATTTCAAAGTGGGGGAAATAATAATTCACAATATTTAAGAGTTTATTTTTTGGTATTTTGCATACTTATTTTCTGTTGGTGATTTGCAATAGCATTTGCATTGTGTACAGACTTTAAACTTTTTTTCTGGTTTGTGTTTCTTTGATTGAAAGGTTTTTCACCTAAACATGGCAAATGGCATAAAATGCTTGCACCTGAAAAATAAAAGAAGGAAAAGGAAAAGCGGCCTGGTCATTGAGTGAAATCCAGTTAAGACCTCTGGTAGATGCCTCTCTCCCTTTCAAGTGGGGATATTGCATGGAAAACACTTAAGAACTTGACAGTGGGGCTGAATAATCAGGGCTGTAATGGCAGATGGGCCTTGAAAAACCTGGAATGAAAACTTTGGTTTCGTTTGCAGGGTTTTATCTCTAATTAGAGTCATAACTTCATAAAAATCAGCTGAATAATTCAGTTGACAGACTGAACGTTGTGTTAAGAAACAGTGGAAGCTCTGTGAGGCCCCTCTCAGCCCTAAGAGGTGTGAAATGGTTCAGTCCACTGGTGCACGAGGATCGTCTCTGAATGAAGCTAAAGCTGATGAGTGAGAGCTGATGCTGCTGGAGCACCAACGTACACGTCTCTCCCTGACAAAAGGAAGTCAGGTTCCAGAAAACAAAGAAAGAAAACTGACTTTTAAAAACTAAATTCAGAAGGTGTGAGACAGGCTGGTAAACTCCAGTAAATAGTCTGCACCAGGATGTTTCAGTAGCCACCAGGAACTATTAGCTGCATTTCCCCCTGAGGCCGCCAGGCGCTATTCAACCATATCAGCAACCGGCCGCATATCATGGCAACGTTACAGGATGCCTTTTTTCATTGGTTTCTGATGCCGCAAGTCACTGCCCAAGCGCCGGGTTTCGGCGACCTCGAAGTGAGACTGGACTCTTTACAATGTTTGAAACGGACATGTCTATTTTAAAACGTTGAGCCTTTGGTCTAATTCCATGTTTTCGGTATATAAACTAAGATTTACAGCAGAAAACAGGAAAAACAGTTTGTGTTCAGGACAAAATCTGTTTTGGTTTTATTGGTGTGAAAATGTATATTAATGTAATGCAGCACTTTGGTTTTTGTTCCCATTTTTCACAGGTTTAATTCAGTAGAAATATTTCTTCAGTCTTTGGTCACAAATCAGTTAACATCTGTGTCAGTGAGCACTTCTCTTTTTCAAAGGTCCATCCACCTGACAGGTGTGGCTGAGGAAACAGCATCATTACCACACAGGTGTACCACACTCTAAAATGTGACGTTCAGTGTTCGTTTGAAAACGAGACGATGACGAGCTAAAAATAGATCCTGATAATAAAAACTAAGACAAAATCTATGTTTGATTTTGGTTGATGAGACGGGATGTAAATGTTGGTGGTGGACTGTCGGACACTGACAGCTTGTAATGATCTTCAGATGCCTGATGAGCGACAGGCTGGTAAACTCCAGTAAATAGTCTGCACCAGGATGTTTGGGTTGGTGCGAGTTGTGAGCTGTAACTCAGCAGTAAATAATCAGCCGTGTGTGTCTGACTGTGGATGGTGGAGCTGCTGAATGGATTTGTGGAGTTTGTTAGTTGCAGTGGTGGCTGTTAGCAGCTAGCTCCGCTCGCAGCCTTCACAGCTTCACCCCGCAGGACTCCACTCAGTCCGGACTGGAGAAGGTTTGTGGGTTGATGGTGTTTGACAGGCAGGTAGGAGGCTCAGTTATCTGTGAGTGTAGCTGTGCTGTAAGTAAACAGTCTGAACTCAGATCAGTTTTCTCTGACAGAGATGAAAGTTTAGTTTGAATCACCAACTCTGTGAGAGGACACCAGTTTAAACCTCCAGACTAACATGTTGCACATGAAGAAACAAGTTATGTTTCTGCTTCTTAACAGTCACATGGATAAGTCAGAGTTTACAATGAACCTGGGGACAAATCCTAGTTGGCTCACATTAGTTATTTGTTGAGAGCATAAATAGAGAGATGTTGAGCTTTTCAGATGATGATCAGTGAGTGAAACACCAGGACCAAAACATTTTGAATTTCTGTCGACTGAAACTATGAAGGATAAAATGTGACTCAAACTAATAAAACATTTTGTCTCCAGACTGAGACGAACCCTGAAACATCTGTCAGAATGAACACAGCTGTGAGACAGACATGGATGAAGCGATGGAGGCCGGGGGCCCCACAGACAGCTGATGCACGGGGCCCTGAACGTGTTGTTACGGCCCTGCTTTAAACTCCAACCTGCTTCAAACCAACTTTTCATGAAGAGAAAAACGTGATTAAAGCTTTGGTGAAGAAGAAGAAGAAGAAGAAGAAGAAGAAGAGAGGAACTTCAGGACGGTGATTTAATCTTTAAAGAGCTTCTCCTCCTCTTCCTCCTCCTCCTCCTCCTCCTCCTCGTTGTTGTTATTGTTCTCTGCAGTTTTATGTTTCATCATGAATTCATGTTCACGCTGCTGCTCTTAATTAATAATGCAGCTTTAATTTCTTTTATGATTTTAATATTCTCACTGGTGTTTGCTTTTCTAAAACTCTTCTTCATCATCATCTTCTGTTTTCATACAAACTCTCTGCAGCTGAACTTTACTGCGTCACAGCAACACGTCACAGTGAGTTTGATTGAAACAGTAAAAATAAAGTGTAGTAAAGGACACAAAGCACCTCCTAACTGAAGTGAATAAATATAGATCATAAGGTTGTCTGTGGACTTCCTGTTTGACGATCAGTCTTCACACCGTTGAGAGGGTTAATAAAAATGTTTTCCTGTTTGAACGTTTGCACATTTTGGAGCCAAGAATCTGAACGGCTCCTCAGAGTCAGGACGCTCTGCCAACAAGCTTCTTCTTCTGATGTTTAATACGAGTGCTCAGTGTTTATTGGTTTCATAATCAGATTTGTGTCAGAGATAATTATCTGTCTGAACACTGATGATGATGACGAGGCTGAGGATGAAGCTGATGTCTGTCGGTCAGACTCTCAGCTGGTCTCTGAGGCTCAGGTTTTAATCGTCAGACTCTAATTAATCTAATGGATCTGGAGCCAGTGTTTGCCAAACTGTGTGAGAGCTGCTTCCCGCTGCAGCTCCAGACCCACGGCCGTACTTCACTTTATATCTGCTGGAAGTGTCGAAGCGCTCACGACATCTGTGAAGGACGAAACTAACGATTCAAACGTCTCTGAGGGAGCTGCATTTCATCTGTGTTAGAAAATATAATGAGTCAGAGAAGAGTTAAAGCTCCAGAGTGTCAGTGAAGATAATCTGTGTATAATCAGCCAGTGTGTCCTCGTCACCTCAGAGTGAGCTGTTTATATCTACACAGGGAGCAGGAGATAACCGTGTTGCACCACCATGTTTCTACAGTAGCCCAGAACGGACAAACCAAACACTGACTCTAGATAGAGACATTCGCACTTGTATACACTCATTCTTCTTTAAGTTCATTCCGGTCTTTCTGTGCATGCTCGTTTCCTTGCCCTTCTACCTCCCTTCTTAGACCTTCTACCTCCCTTCTTAGACCTTCTACCTCCCTTCTTCGACCTTCTACCTCCCTTCTCCTCCTCAACAGACGAAGCATTAGCAGAACAAGGTTGTTGTCGTACTGCTGCTTCAAGAATATAAGCAAAACAAGCCCGAAAAAGGCACTAAGAACGGCGTCGTCAAGCATCTTGTTATCTGGAGCGAAGACTACAGTGTTTTCTTCTGGTAAACATGTAACATCCGCCCCGCCCCCTATCCAATCAGAAACCTTCCCTGCCCCAAACCTTGCGCAGACCCGAATAAAGGCGATTAAACTGATCTCCGTGTAAACCCTCATTCAGAATGAATATTTCCCATGTAAACTACCTGGAAAGACTTTAATTCTGAATGATTTCATTCTGAATGAGAAACCATCATGTAACCGCACCCACCCACACTCCATCACATCTACAATCAGAACAAACATTCAGACAGTTTTTACTTCAATCAGTGAAGAATCCTTTTTTTATTTTCTGTCAGTTTTCAGGGACAAACGATGATCATGAACATGTTCTTTTTCTGTGGTCAGGTTTTATCTCTTTTATGGCCGGTACACACTGTGTGATTTTGGGCTGTCCCAGACGAAAGATGACCATCGTGGGAGAAACGTGGCGATATCTTTGGTCGTGGCTCTAAAACGGTGGTCTTACGTCGCACTGTGAGACAGGTTCAAGGACGGCCGGTGTCAA